AAAGTTTTAGACTAGTTCACACATCTGCAGTCTAACGGGGTGGGGGGGTATTACCTAATCCATGCCTTTGCCACAGCCGCCCCACCCACCCGACAGGATACTTGCTGGAGAATGAGGGTGGAGAGGGTTTTGGTGCACCCTTTCCTCAAGGCGGAATTTACGGCTTCTTAGAGAACCGCAGCCCTCTTCAGAAGGACCATGACGGGATTTATTTAAAGAAATATGGCTAATTCTATTGGGTTCCCATAATTTGCACTTGCAAAAATCCTTTGAAAGGGACTGACGTCTGCCTCTTCAATGGAGAGATATCTTCACCAGGAGACAAAAAATTGGAGTCTGGCATTTTAATGCCTCCCATGCAAAAAGCATCAACTATGTCCCAGGGTCCCCCCAAAGGTTCAAAGAGAGCTCCCCTCCAAGTGTGAGGATTACCTGATTTCACTCCAGAGCAGAGGAAGAGGCAGCGAGCCAGTGGCAAGAGGTGGGGAGCGCAAGATATTTTTCCACAGTTTGGAAATTGATCTAGAACCTTGGGAAAGTACCAGTGGTGGAATTTTTAATTAAAATGTTGAAGCTTTGCAACATGTTGCTATTAAATCCAAAAAAGAAAGCAAGAAGCAAGAAAGCAAGAAAGCAAGAAAGAAAGAAAGAAAGAAAGAAAGAAAGAAAGAAAGAAAGAAAGAAAGAAAATAAAAGAAAAAGAAAAATCTCCCATTCCAGAATTAGATTATATTTTTCTGAGAGAAAATATGTGCACCATAAGCCGACATGATGATATGTTTAATTAGGTGATTCTAGAGGTTATTCTAGCGCTGGGCATAAACCTGTCCCACATAAGGCCACTGGGTATCGATGGTGTGAACGTGGTACTTAAATGTGAACAGTAGCAGCCTTCAAGACCTGCGCCCGCCAGGAACACACAGATCAAATCAGCTCTTCGAGTCTAGCCACACATTTCTACTAAAAGGGAGAAAAGTCACCTTCTGGGATTTTTCCAGGGCTTCAAATAGTCTCCCTTCTCTCAGCTCATCAAGCTTAGAACGGCTTCCTTTGTTAAGCCTTCAGCCACCCTTGCTTCCAGCCTAAGGAGATTTGAAACCCCTCTCCCCAGGTTACGGAAGATACAATGGACTTTTCAGTTCACCGTATTTTCCTGAAAGAAAATCTCTCTGTCTCATAAAAGCAGCCCCAAACCACACAAAAGTGTGCGGGCAGTGGGAAGGAGAGAGGCCAGGTCCAACTGTTGGTGCCATCACCCCATTAGCCTGGCTGCCAGCTGCCAGGTGCCCGTGTTGGATGAATAGCACCAGGTGCCCCTTGGGGCCAGGCAATTAGCGAGATGATCTGTCTTATTCTAATAAGGAAACTCATTGCAATGCATTTATTGATCAGGTTTTTACCTCTGTGTGTGCATTTTCAAACAAGGAAATACAGACCTATGGACCTGCTTTCACTTCGGTGGAGAATATCCCCTTCCACGTCATGCCCAGCCAAGGGGAAAAGAAAAGAAGAAAGAAGCATTATTAAATTTAAGTCCACTAAGGAACCACAACTAAAAGTATGTTAATTCCACTTTAAAAGCTTAAAAGCTCTGCTCTGTAGTTGCTGTCCTTTTTTTTTTTCCTGTTCTCTAATTTTCTCATGAAAATTAGAGTGGCGTGAATGTGAGCTATTAAATTAGTCCCCAGCCATTTCATAAAATCACAGCACGGTTCTTCTGTGATGTTTTCATTTGTTCTGCTTGTGCGCCAGATAACCTGGAGTCTCATTCGGTTCCTAGACTTCTTAAGGATGTCTGAGGCACTGGCTTCAGGTACTGGGGAAATCAGGACTTAGGAAGATCAATTCACACTATCTACTAGAAGAGTTAAGATTCAAATGCAACTCTCTCTGGGGTTAGAAGCTATTACACACTTCAGTCCTTCCCAAGGCTTCTGCCTGACGAGCAATGCATAGTAGTCCTATAGTTTCTTTTTCTTTTTAGATTCCACATATGAGTGATACCATACGGTATTTTTCTTTCTTTTTCTGACTTACTTCACTTAGCATGATAATCTCTAGGTCCATCCATGTTGCTGCAAACGAAATTATTTCATTCTTTTTATGGCTGAGTAGTATTCCATTGTGTACATATAACACATCTTCTTTATCCAGTCATCTGTCGATGGCCATTTAGATTGTTCTGTGTCTTGGCTATTGTAAATAGTACTGCTATGAACACTGGGGTGCAGGCATCTTTTCAAATGATAGTTTTCTCCAGATCTATGCCAAGGAGTGGGATCGCTGGAGCATCTGGTAATTCTATTTTTAGTTTTTTAAGGACTTCCCATATTGTTTTCCATATGGCTGCAGCAAATTACACAGACGCTTTAATATACATTTATCCACAATTATGATAATGTTGAAATAAAGAAAACATTAGATATATTATTTTTCCATTTCAAGAATTGCTTTTTTCTTTTTCTTTTCTTTTTTTTTTTTTGGCTTACTTGCATCTTTTTCATATGTATTTAAGTGGATGTGGGAGTATCCTGCTGACCATGTTGTATATTAGTTACTTTTCTGGTGCCTTTGCACAAATAAGGAAAAGATGACTTCTCTGGATCATTGCTTGACAAGAGAAAGGCACTTTTATTTAAAAGTCTTTCCTCCAGGCCGGATTGAGCACAGACTTGATTTCTGCTGCCCGTCACTCCCTCTGAGGGGCATTTATAGGTAGTGTTTGAATGTGCAGCTTGTGCTTGTAGCCCTGAAGGTTTGCCCACAGTCAGCTCACAGTTATTCTTTCACCCCAATGTCATCCAAAGAAGTCTCTAAGGAACATTTCTGAACTCCGCCGTGGTGTTTTGGTTGAGATAAAGTTAGAGACATTTCTAGCATTTAATGAGAAAAGACCAGGTATGTTAGATGTCTTGCAATGTTCAGGGAAGTGTCAAACTACAAATGTTTGTTCCACATTCTGCAGAGTAATTTTTTTAACTGGTATAATTACCTGAAGTTTGGCCCTAATTTGTTTATACATATAAATTAAAGAATTTATTTAGCAGTTTTTATATATGTTAAATTTTTCCCAAGATGCAACTACTGTGTAAATCAAGAAGGGACTCTATTTTGTTACTTTACAAAGAATGTCTGAACAATTTGGAAAATGACACCACGAAAAGAAACTCTGGTCATAGGATTCGTGTTTCTAGTACAAAACACTTGTGTCAGTTAGTATAAGTAGTTGTTCCATTCTGATCATATGAATGAATGTATTTCTTTCGGTCTTATTTCAAAACATCAAATATAAAGGAAAGTGACAACAATATCCCGCTGACTACTTTAAATTGAGTCTTATGGTTTTGCCCATAAAGTTGCCATTGTGCCTTCAAATTCTATGTTTTATTTTTCCAAATGAAGCAACAAAATCATTAAGATTAAAGAAACATTGTGCAACAAAACATCCTAATGAAACTGTTCAAGATATGCCACATTTCCAAGTAATCTTGTCTCTGGGATGTTTGCAAATAGTCTTTTAATCAAAAAAAGAACAAATCTCAGACAGTAGTATAAATGATTGCAAAATGTGGTAATCTAAACAATGCTGGAGAAAAGCTAATCTTATTAGCTGTACAAGAATTTACTAGAATGGTGATGGAAAAGAATAAAAATAACATGATTTTTCTTTTTACTTTTTCATTAAGCAATGTTACTATTTCAAAAAGAACTGATGAGATGGGAAACAGTACTGAGAAATTAGCCATGTAATGAACAGCAACAAGCAAATTTTTGACAAGTGTATGGAAGCATCCTTTATGACAATAAAGATTTTCTGCTCACATACATAAGATTTGCAAGGAAAGAAAAAGTTATAAGAAACTATTGTTGTCAAACTTACAGATAGAGGACAAAAAAAAGGATGTCAATAGTTGAAATTCTTAAAAACATATTAAACAGAAAAAAAATCTCATTTCCAATATCATTGCTTGTATTATAATTAGACCAACTATGATTTGCTAACAAACAAGTTTTTATACACAACAAGTATCATAATGTTTTTGCAGTCCATCCTATTTTTCATAAAGAATTAGTAGACAAACATCTTGGTGAAACATTTCACAAATCAATAAATATTTTTATCAGTCTTAAAATTAATAAAATTTAGGCGAATCCTTTGAATGACAGATTATTTAGAAATTTGTGGCATGACAAAGATATTAAAAAATTTATCTGACACACTTAGTAATTTTTTCCTACATTTGAGATGGCTCCCAGGGGAAACTGCTTATAAATATTTTGTTCACTATTTCACACTGTTGTAGAGTTATTCATCCAACCAATGAAAAGTTAGACAAATTCAATGCCAAAATTAAGAGACTGAAAAATGATGTATTTATTTTTCAGAGTTATTGACAAAGTTTAATGAGGTGATCCTTGAGATGCAAGGGAATGAGATGAATCATATTAAAGTGAAAAGAATTTTCATAGAAATTATCAAAAAACTAAATTTCTTTTTAATAAACTTTTTCACTGAGCATTTTCTTTGTTCTTCTTTCCAGCTGTTGGATCAGGTTAAAGATAATAATATTGATTTGGAAATATATTACTCTAATATGGCTGAACCCAAAAGATGAGATGTAAAGATCTGAATGAATTTTCAGGAGTGATTGCATGGGATTTATTTATTTGAAACAGAAAAGGGCATGTCAGTCAACATTTGCAGGCAGAGTTACCTGAGAAAGGAAGGACAGGGGACAAAGAATTTAATCAGTTACAGAGTTATGAATTTCAAACCTACATCTTTGGAAATAACCTAAATTACTTACTAGAGCATTTCCAACTCCTTATTTAGTTGGAAAGCGATTCAGAGTTATCACACAGTTACTACAAAGTACAGTTACTATAAATATATTGCAATGGTCACTGCTTAAAAGCATACAGCAAAGATGATGTTAACTGTTTTAACAAATTTAAAGCCCAACATTGTTAAATTAGTGGAGTTACATAAGAAAACATAATTGCATTATGTTTTAAGGATTATTTGTAAAATATTTATTATTATTATTATTATTATTATTATTATTGTTATTACTCATATATATAGTAGCTCAATAATAAGAGAACTGTGCTGTAAAAAAGTGTGTATTTGTTTTATTTATTTGGGTTGCCTTTTTTTCTGAGAAATGAAGTATTTTATTGAGACAGTTGTTAGAAAATTAAGATCATATATAGTTTATGTTTTATATGAAATATGTATCATATGGTCTACTCTCAAATAATGTTATATTCACTTTGCAAGTTACATAAGAAGTTTATAGCAGTGTTTCTCCATTTTCCCCTCCAATCTTTGGCAATGTTATTGTCATTTATTTAAACTCTACACTACATTGTTACTTACTCTGCTTTAAACAGTCACCCATATTTGGAGAAATTGGAAAATGAAAAAAAAAGTCTTTAATATTTGCCTGGTATTTGCTATTTCTAGTGCTCTTAATTCCTTCATGTAGAACTCAGATTCTAAGCACTTTCTCCCTTAGACTTAAGAAGATCCTTTAACATTTCTTGTAGAACTTAGAAAACAAAGTCTCTCAGCTTTTGTCTGTGTGAAAATTTCTATTTCATTTTTATTTCTGAAGACCTTTTTGCTGATTTAGCATTCTTGATTAACAAGAGTTTTGTTTTGTTTCAGTATTTCAAAAATGTCATCCCTTGTCTTCTTGGTTTGCACTATTTCTGATAAAGTCAACAGTAATTGTTACCTCTGTTTCCTGATACATAATGTGTCTTTTTTTTCCCCTCTGGCTGCCTTTGACATGTTTCTCTTTCTCATCAGTTTTCAAGAATTGTATTACAATGTGCCCCTTTGTAGTTGTCTTTGTGTTTCTCCTGTTTGGAGTTCATTAGGCTTCTTGGACCTGTGTGTTTATACTTTTCCTCAAGTTGGGAAACTTTCTGAACATCATTTCTTCAAATATTTTCTTTTCCTGGGACCCCAGCTTGCACATTTGTTAGACCTTTTAGATGATCGGGGGTGACTGGGATTCGATTTGATTCGATTCTGAACAGCGTGAATGTTACAAAGTCGATATTCTCCATTTTGTTGTCTTCCTTTGAAAAGTGTTGAATTTCTGTTCCAGCAGCAGCTAAATTGTGTGTGGATTAGCTTGATTCTTTGGAATCTTGTTATTAAGCTTTATTAGGTCACCAAGCCTCGAGTAACCAGTTTGGCCCTCCTCACAGGGCATGGCTTTCCTGGGGCATCTCCTAAATGCTCCAGATGTTTAATGATGTCCTTCCACTCTGACGGATCAGATTCAAACTCTTCTCAGCCTGTAAGTGCTCTAGGATCTGCTCACCTTATTGCTTCCAGGTGCTTGTCTTTCCCTAGTAGTTATTTTTCTCCAGCCTCATGGAGTTCCACCCTCAATTTTGAGGACTTTGATGCAGATTTTCTGGAGATTTCTCCACAATTTTCTTTCCCCTCTGGTTCTCTGCCCTGCAAATTCTAGCTCTCTCAGCCTCCCTGGGCTCTGATCTCAGTCCCAGGCTCAGCAAGACAGCTGTGCTGCATGTAGGCTGTGCCTCCCAGTCCTGTGGTCCAGAACCTGGCTCTGGACCCCAAACCAGAGCTAACAGATGACACACTTTCCTTGTTTTCCATCTCTTGGGAATCACTATCTTACACTGGCTCTTGTTAATTACAGAACACATTTGTTTCTTACACTTTGTACAGATCTATGTTGTTTATGGTGGGAAGGCTATTCCAGTACCAGTCCTTCATCTGTGTCTGGAAGCAAAAGTGAGTTGCCTATTAATTTTGATTTTCCTCTTATACTTCCCCCAGAAACATATCATAAAACAGTTTTCTACAGACTCCGTGTGGATTACTCTTTTTTTTTTCTTAATCCACCCTCTTCTCCCTACCACCTGCCAAAATATTTGGCCTTCAAAGTCTTAATAAATAGCAGAAACTGAAATTATTGTCTAACAGGTGGCAGGAATTTAAAATAGAAGATATGTTTTCTGTGCTCCCCTGTCACGACTCTGCCCTCAGTCATTCTGCATGAATTCTTTGGATCCTCCCCTTACAAGTGAGATACGGCTCATTTGTCAGACTGTCACACTTCCTCGTGTCTCCATTTTATTGCTTTGCAATTTTCTTTGGCATATGATTCCCAACTTCAATGAAGGCAGTTTCTCTCTTTCCCTTATTATACACGAATGAATCTAGGTCGCTACAACCTATCCAAACACTCATTTTCATTTGAGTGTCACACCTCTGCTGTTTCATGTTCCTGCTTTTTATATGCAGCATGGTTTCTTATCTTCTTGCTTGTTGAGAATCCAAACATAATCATCTAACTACTTCACTGCATCTTCTAAGTAGTCCTGTTCCAGGTGTTTACACAGTGAAATGCATATTGTTCTAAATTGCTTTTCTCTTCATTGTTTTTTTTGAGGGCATTGTGTTTACATGGAGAGACATTAATGTTTTCAAAATTATGTGTGTAGGTAGATGATATCATTTATTACTTTTCTTCCAGCACGGTAAAAACTACATGGCAATATATTGGCAAGAGGGCATTGGGTCCTATAGGGTTGGAGATGACGATTTACTTGGTTAATACAAATTAGTAATTACTTTCCATGTTCAAAGCATTGTCTCATGTGAAATATAAAGGTGAGGTGGGTGGCCTCAAGGAGTTCAATTTTATAAAACAGATACCCCAGAGCTCCATGAAAATAGGACTCACATCTATTTTAGTTGCTACAGTATCTCCTGCTCCTAGAACAGCTATCGACACAGAGAAGATGGATATATGCATCCTGAATTAATGAAGGTAGTCCTTCAAAAAGCCTAATCAAGGGCAATATGTAAAGAATGACCTGATCATGGTATGAATGGGACACTGTAGGGGTTTGGGAGAGGAAAATACCAAACCTGCACTGACCATAACAGGCCTCTTACAGAAAAAGACTTTTCATTCAGACCATGATGCGTAAGCCAGATTGACACACAGGAAGTTGACAAGGGCATTCCAAAGTGAGGGGACCAGCAAATGCAGAATGACATGGAATGTTGGAAGAATGATCAGTAACCAAGTTTGTCTGGGCCTCAGCAGCCAAGTTTAAGTAGAAGAGTAAGGAGAGAAGAGACTTGAAATTTGGGGCAGGTCAGATGGTAGAAGGAACTACACCACAGACAGGAGAAACCGGGCTCATTTATGACACAATGAAAAGAACACCCAAAGAAGTTTACTTTAGCTTCAGTGTGTAAGGAAATTATGATGTCAGGAGACAGGACTTCACCTAGGGGTCCTTCTCCTGATCAAATGTCCACCAAATATGTGAGCGGCAGGAAAAGCTCTTTTTTGAAACCAGTAAACCTCAGAATAACATTATTATTTTTAATATCTTGTACCTGTGATGAAGACACAAAGAGAAATTAGATGGATTTTAAGTCATATATAGGTTTAGGGAAAAAACAGACTGCGTTTGAAATAAGAGAGTAATGTGATGAGATTAAGAGGTCTTCCCGGGAATGTGGGTGTTCTGCCCCTCTTCATTCTTCACAGTGGACAATTTTAATATCATCCTGGGCCCAAGGCACTGGGAGCAATGCAAAGTCACAGTAGTTCAAGCTTCAAGAAAGGTGTCCCCTTTCAATAAGAAACATTTGAAAATAATGATTGACACAAGGAGAATGTCACGTACTGAAGTTGGCCGTTTTTAATCTTTCCTGGATGCTTTATCATTTCTTCTCAGTAACTGAGACTCTGACATCCTATGTATACGTCCCTGAGAGCCATGGATTCATTCAACCTCTAAGACAATGGCTAATAATACTTTATTTATTCCGAAGCCCAGGCAGCAAGATGAAGCCCCTCTCCGCAGACTGCAGCTGAGATGACACAAGGAGGCTGCAGTGCGGATTCAAATCGGCACTGGTCAGAAGGGATGGAGAGCCCTGTAATCTTGTGGTATAACATTCGGTTCTCAGTGAACACCACAGAGTCCATTATGGGCCCCAGAAATCCCCTGGTTACTTCCACTCCCACACCCTATGAAAATAATTGCTAGTTCATGCCCAAAGATTAAAACAGCCACAGCATGAAATGGCTTCAGTGTTCCTCTTAGCGTACTTATTTGCTTAAGCCTTCTTCCAGAATATCCCATCAGTCAGAATTCCAGGCAGTGCTTAAAATGTGCAAAGTTGCTAAGCTTTCATCTCTGACTATTTTGACTCGGTCCCAGTCTCTTCCTCTAAGTGGGGTGTGCTTTTTATTTTCATTCTTTCTCGTATATATCATACCTTTCTTCCATTTGATGCCTCCTGGTTTAGCTATGGTAACCAGGAATGAGGCCTCTTCCAAACTGAGTAGAGAAGTGGGGGAAAAAAAAGGGTTATTAATGGTTTTTTTCTTAATCTGAAACTGCACAAATAAAATCTTTGAACTCTGAGTGAGCAAGAGGAATAACCAGCATTCTCCAAATGGATGGGGTGATTCGAATTAACTTTAGTAACTGAGATATTCATTCTATCATTCTAATTAATTCTAGTAATTAATTTTAATTCTAATTAATTCTCATGGCCTAACTCTAATGGACCTTTAGTCCTGCATGACAAATGGTGATTATAATAGAGGTACAGT